ACCGAGAGTCAGCAACACCCCCTACTCACCGGTGCAGCAAGATGGCGGAAAAGGAAGAGGCCGGGCACCCGCGCGTGATTATGGGAAAGCCATGGGCACGGGATGGCGCGCGGCGCACCACAAGATCTCGCGAGACTTGGCGTCCCAGTCGGAAGGCGCCGCGGGCCAGGCGTGATCATTCTCATTGGCCAAGAGTCGCGCATCGCACTTCCGGAGCGACGCTGCCGTCCCAGTTGCTGTAGCAACCAGGACGCTTCGCGGGAGGCGGTGGGTACGGCTGGGGGGGGGGGGCAGGAAGGGGGAGAAGGCGGCGCCGTCAGCGCACCCGCAGGCCCTTGGCGAGCAAGCCGCTGCCTTCCGTTATGTTTGTTGTTGCTGGCTTGGTTTTTTTTAAATTTTATTTCTTACAAGACAAAACATAACAGAGGGATTCCCAGAATATTTGGCTTCCCCTGAAGCACACAGGACAGCAGAGCCGCTGCTCTGTGGTGTGAGGGGTTCCCCGAGGGGAAGGTGTGGGAAAGCTACGCTGAACAGTTGTTTTTCTATCGATTTCTAACTTAAAACAGGAAGTACCGTACACAGCAAACGCACAGCACTCTAAGCTAGCATTACCTCTCCGACCGACAGCCCTGTTTGCCATTTCACACCCAGCATTTCTGCCAGCACCAGCCTGTGGCAGTTCGGGAAAGCCTTTCTTAAATAATGGCTTCAAGACCGCACTGCAGCGCCTCCCCACAGTTCAGATTATCGAAAGTTTTCCTGATTGTGTCTGATTTGTCCACAGCCTCAGTCACTCTTACTGGTGTTAGTCAGCTACAGCTGACATCACAGCCTTTCCCTCTGCAGCAGCAGCTGTCAGCATGCTGTCAAGGCTGGTAAGATGTATCATTTAGAGAGCTATTTCAAACAAAAAGTGTTTTTCTGTTAGGACACTGCACACTGACTAACACATGGCACCAAAACACCATTCCCAGCTCCAGTTGCTTGCCTGAAAGACATATTTACACAATTTCTTGTATGTTCACAAAGAAGACGACTTAAAGGTTCTCTTTAATCTGTATTTTCCTATTTAACACTTACAATAGACAGTGAAGAGAGTTCATTTTAGAACAGTAAACTTTTAAAATGCATTAACACAGGTTTTAGCTTTTTAAAGAAAAAAGTTCAGTTTTTAAAAAAAGGAGGGAGAGGTCATAGAAACGCACAAACAATTCAGGCTTATTTACAAGAGACAAATCTAGCATATTCAAGGTGATTTTGTATACAGACAACAACATTCATAAAACCAAACGTGCTACATGGCTCCATGACAACAGCAGTTTTCAGAACAATCACCTGTTAAGGTAACACATACCTTAACTCATTTTCTATAGTCTCACTGCAATGAGTTGCAGCTTACACTATAACTGAACTACAAATTTATGTATTCCAGACTCCTACTCAACAGATAACCTGCTCTATGCAGCCAAAAAAAGCAAGCAGATTTAGTGACACAATGGGATCACCTTCTCCCCTGATTTTGGGTATGTACCCTCAGCTATGATCATTCTTAGGCTCATGGTCCTCCTTCCACCAGGATCAGCAGTAACCAGCCTTTAAGAAGCATAAGCTTTCAGAGCTGCCTTTTGTAATTGCTGTAGCCACAAATCAACAAATCAGTGAAGCCAACAGTTACAGAAATGCTATCACGCATTACTGTTCTGCTGTTTCTTGAGTTGGGGTATTGATTCACAGGGCCTCTTAGTTCAGTGAAGACACTTAATAAGCTCCATACATCAAAGGTCAGGATGTATGACATGTACAAGATCAGCTGCAGACCTCTAGGTCAGCAGAAAAAGGGAGACATACAACCACAGCAGTTGCTAGAGTGATATTGTCACTTCATCAGGGAGCCAATAAAAAAAAAAAGCCAGTGAGCAATACAACCTCTATTGTCTTAATTATACATTAATTTTCAAAACTGTTCCCAAGGAAACCTTTTACAACAGTGAACAGCAGTTAAATCTTCATTCATTTTTCTTTTCCTTGTGCTTGAGAAGCTTGTTTATCTCCCTTTTTGCCATTCCAACATATTTTGTAATGATCCCATGCTGGTTTAGTCCAGGAAAGAGCAACAAGAAACTTACTAGAGAGAAAAAAAAAAAGAATTGTTTATTACTGCTTTAACAAGGTTCTGTCACCTTGCAATTTCTTGCTTCCATAAGCCCCATTAACTGCCTGAAAACAGAAAAATATAACCCTGTGACCAAAAAAATAAATCACCACACTCATGTAATCAAATCACTTCTAGCAGCCTCTTATCAATTCAGGCAGCTAACAAAAAAGTTACTGCTGTTTTGCATGCTGCACACTTACCAATAAGATAGGTCAGAAAGAGATTGTGAACTTGCTGTCCAATCCAGGCAACCACAGCAAGAGAAAAAAGCATGGTCATGAAGTACTAAAAATGAAAAGAAAATGATTACCACAGATCTGTTGGGAATTTTCCCTTTTCCCTTCAGTATTCAGCAACATTTCAACATTTAAAATCAACTTGAAGACTGCTGTCTTTTCCACGTGATATCTATGCATAGGTTTGTTAAAACAGACTAGAGAGTCTACAATTCTATGTTCTCGTTTATTTTCCAACCATCAGTTCTACAGGATGACAGTTCTTTTCTGTCCAGATATTCCTTAGAGTCAGACTATGCCATCCCCATTGGCACAACTGCAGCCTCACACAGCACCTGAAGCTGTTTTTTAGGACAGTACACTCAATAGTTCAGGTACCTAAGCCCAGACATTATTAACATCTAGGTTTTTCAGTTTGTGTCCACGGGCAACAAGCTGAGTTTCCAGTAACTGACTAATCCAAAGAAATTCAGTTTAGCTTTATCTTAACATGAAGGCTATGCTCCTAACTGCACAGGACTGCAAGTTTAAAGCCATCTATCTTGCCACTCCAGGTTTGAAGATGTGTGACTGGCATTAAGACACAGCCAGAACTGCTGGTTCTTGGTTTGAAATACCAGTTTATTCAGACACGTGCCTTGCTAAAATACTTACGACAAAACAAAACAAATTAAATCTTAGGACAATAGAGATGAACTCCTGGAACTCAGTACCATTTTAGGCTTCTCTTCCTTCAGTGTGAAGAGACGTTTCCACCAGCCAACAATTCGGCGACGAGATTTTACCAAATTGCTGCAAATCTCATGAAATCTTTGCTGCTGTTCTGTAGTCCTTTATTAGAGGAAAAAAGCCAGAAATAAGAATTCAAGATTTCATCTGAAATTTAAGAAAACTTTCATAGTATTTCTGCAGCAGTAAAAATTGATCCAGTACTTATCCTGGCATTTGCTTCATTTAGTTTTATACCTTATCTTTATTGAGCATTGTAATGCAATTGTCCATGTAATTTTTCCGTACTCTCTTAAACTGACTCCCAAAGAGCAACCCCATTCAAGTCAGAAGGCCACTGATTTTAATCTGATACCAGTGTGTATTACTTTGGCTTTTATGTTGGTTCATTATTGGACAAGAACATTTATCCACTAGTCATCTTAAAGCACACACACACTAAAATTTACTTTTAATTCAAAACTTAGCTCAAATAAGGTTCTTCTCCAGCTTACTGTTTCTCTATAAACCTTCTTCAAATCTGCTTCAGTCACTTATGATCACATTTGTACTCTGCATTACTCTCATTTCATTGTATTTACTCTCGTCACTCTTTACAAACATATAATCTAATACATTTATTCATCATTTTAATTCTCAGTATCTATTAGCCATTAATGACTAAAAACTGGTTTAGCAGAACTACCTAGCGTCCTTAATGGAAAGCAAAGAATGTGCCTACTCCTATATTTTTTTTTCTAGAAGAGAAGGAACAATAAAGATACATTGTAGTAGTTATCTTCCAGAAAAAGAAGAACAAAGGACATCTTACTAGTGTCCTCACTTCATGTATTACAGAGATTGTAGATTTCTTATTACAATGACACTATAAAGTAATCATTTGATATCTGCAAGTCAGATATCCGTTGTGACAAAATTCACAATTTATTTACACTCAAGAAATTAAAGCTTTCCTCACCATTTATTAGAGCCAAAGATTCTAGGTGCGAGAGCAGGAACAAGATAATCAGCCAAACAGAGGAACATAATGAAACAGGAGACACCTGAAAGGACTGATGGGTCCAAGTAGTAGATCATCCTGCACAAAGAAGATAACAAATGATTTCTGGATGTCATACTGCTAAATACCAGACATATTTTGTTATCTCTTCAGATTGGCTCAGGATTTCAAACAGTAGACCTATTGCTCTTACCCAACCTCAAAAAAAATTTACTAGTAATAAAAGCAAGTTTGAAAAGGGGTTTAAATCCTTCAACATTACTACAAAGAAATACTGGCAAATAAATTAAAATTTTCTTTATGTACTACATAAGAAAATGCTACAATACAGCAAGCATAGTATGAGTTCAGTAGAAGTAAAAATTCATGACTATTGCTCTCTCAAAGTTGACATCTGGTGAACTTAACACTGATCAGGGGATGAAATAACCACAGAGTGAAAGCTCTGATCTTGTTGGTTCTTAAGCAAGTCACAGAATTCACACCTACTATGGGTTGTCATTTGCTCTGCCTCACCTGCGAGAGCAGACTGAACCTGTCATGGACAAGGAGCCATAAGTCTCCAATTAGGACAGTGTGGTGCTTTTACATATTAAGTGTGCCACCACCCAAATGCAGCAGAAGAGATCCTGGACAAGAGCTGGCTCATCTCACAAGTGTCTGTTAACGCTCAGCTGTGCCCCGTGCTGTGTATTGGCACTTAACAGAACTTCTGAACACTGAAGTAATAAAAGCTGGGCCAGTCTTTCTGTACATCTGACACAATGCTACTGTGGTGAGTGTTCAAGATCGGTTTTGATGAAGCACCAATTCAGAATCTGAAGCAGTCCTGTCTATTTCCTCAAAGCATTATTCAACACAAGATCTTTTCTGCTATAATCATAGCATTTATAACAGAGTACTCTGAAGTTCATGCAATTATTTATTTTAAAAGTTACTTTTTAGTTTCATTTGATTTCCATCCTCCCCACCTCCCCTGAAGGCTGTAAAATGTATACTAGCCAGAACTTTGATTATCCCGACCTCACCTGGTTTAACGTGTTTTTTGTTTTTTTTTAATGCCTGTCTTCTTCTACTCAAGAACAAACACAACTGGAAAACTCCACGGCTGGTGTGGACACTTAGCTGTACAAGGCAGGCGGGCTCAACTTGACCACTACCGCATTACATAGAAGTATGCACAAGTGCCTCCAGAAAGCCAGTTCTGTATCTCCAATCGAGACACAGGCAACATTCTCCCATCCCCTCCTGTCAGAGGACAGGACAGCAAACACAAAAAAAACCCAAACACACACAAAAAAAACCAATGGAACTCACCCTAAACTGCACATCAAAGATGCAGAATAGCAAACTCTGCCCTATGGAAACAAGCTTTCCATAACGATATTGCCATTGGTGCAGGGGAAAAATACTAAAGGATATAACCAGATAAGACTAAGAAGCAAAGGATGAGGGTAGAATATGAACACACCAGTGAAGAACACAGCTGAGTGTGGTACAAAACAACATCGCTGGTAAACAGTTTTTGCGGAAAGCACTGCTCTCCCTGAGCAGGATGTGACTCAAATTACTTCCTGTTCTCAATACTTAAGGTTTTTCTTTTCAAGAAAGTTCACACACTTTCAGAAACAGAACCTGGAGCAAAAGCTTCCCTATTAGACTTTTAAAGATGTCTTACTAATTTACTCAGTAGATTTTCTACCAGCCATGACAGTGCAATGGTGCTCCCTCCACAAGCTACTTACAGAAAAGAAAAGGAAACCACACTCATCAGTGCCAGAGGAAACCAGGCTCTCTCCCAGCGAAGAACTTTATCAGTCATCAAAATCACTTCTCCCCATCCTTGCAGTTGCTCTTCCAAGCTAGCAGTTTCAGCAGCCTACACAAAAAGAGAAGAAAGTTCTAATTATGAACCAGAGTATCAAATTAATTCCCACAATTGAAGAAGCTAAAAAGTGTCATAATTTAAGATTCCAGTCACAAACCTTTCTGAGAAATTAAATTTCTAATAATGTTGTTTTATACTGTTATGACACGGTAGCAGTGACAGTCAAGATCCTACCAAAACAGCAGCATACGTTATTAGACAAAATGAGACCTCCTCTCAGACCTTGCCAAGGTATTTACCCCTCAATCTCCCATTTACAGTACTCCCTCCCCCCAGATTAGTAGAAAGTCAAGTTTAAACTCTAGCTAAAAACTCTCAAGTTCTCAGTGTCAACATCTGGAAAAATACAACACAGAACTATATAAATTAAATTTATAGAAATTATATCTATTAAAATATGTATATATATTTTCAAAGACAACTCTACTGCATTAAACTGAAGCTTTCGAGTTGCTGTTTATTATGTAGAAGACTGATAAAAACTCAGAATCTAGTGTAAAGTTACCAAACTTATCACATTTGGACTGCAAAGGAAGTTTTTCCACAGGCTGCCCAAAACAGCAATGAGGCAGCCTTTAAACTCCTTTTCCTGTATTATTCCTACATTTGACCCTCTAGATCTTCTGCAAGGAGGCCCTACCTGTTCTGGCATCAGCTTGCTAAGAAGTTTCCCTAAAGTGGTCCACATCTGACGTAGCTTTAGCTTAATAGTTCCCCCTCAGGGGAACAGGGTATCACAGATACTACAAAACTCAGGTACTGTAAACAGAACCAATCACTGCCCAAGTATGAGAGGTGACAAATCACCAAGACCTGCACACGTCCTGTGCAGGGATCACGGAGTGGGTTTCATTCTCAGCTGTGGGCTACACTTAAATGAGAAGCCTGACACCACTAGAATAAGTGCAGCTATCATAGGAAAGCATAGTCTTCTTGTGTGATAACACTGGAAGCCATTTGAAAATTACAGTTCAGGACCAAAACTATGTGACACATGCTAAACACCTTCCAGCTACCACATCTTCTTCAAGTTATAAACACAAGCTGTCACATGGTTGAAAATAAAGCTGCATTTCTCCAGAAGGCATTCTATGACAAACTGTTTTGCTTTATTACCTTTGGCTGCCTACATTTAACATCACAAGCAAGAGAAAATTTAATGGGAAACAGACTGGAATATAACAGTGTTAATCGCAGCCTGGCTCTATCAGCCAAGATGAGAACCACTGTAATTTTTTTTCTCCCACTGGGACAGCTAGAGGAAACTTAAGTGAGCTTTTGTCAACAGCATCTGCACTCCAGAGACCTTTCATCAAAAGTGTTTTTTTTTCATTAATCAAACAGGATAAAGTTTCCATTAATATGAACTTCTACTCTGAAAGGGGCACACACTCCCCCTGAAGACTGCACGTATTTTTGGCAATACAGTTCTGTGCACTTTTTACGCAGACACTGGAACCTCCCGCTCACCTCTGCGCCAGTGACAGTTTGTACCTTCCAAGCTATCCAGCTTCCTGCTGCAAGAACTAGCACTGATCAATAAAGCACTCAAAAGCTTCCCCTCTCCATTTCTTCACGTGCTTTTACAGTGATTTCTCCCATTTCTCATGACAGCTGTTTACTATTACAGAGATATATATATTATTTAAATTTTTAATTATCCAAGCCCACCCTTGACAAAAATTTAAGTTAATCATCTAGCTCCTGCCACTTTCTTGCATCGCATTCAATAACACAGCCAAAGGATGTTGAAACACAAACATGAATATTAAACGTATGCCCTGCATATCAGGTAAAGCCAGCTGTTACTGAGCACACGGCACACGGAGCGTTCTCGTAAAACCCAGCCCCCACCAGGCCCTACAACATTAGCCGATCCCCACACAGGAACCTCGTAGAAGCAAAAGCGAGCGAAGGAAGGTAATTCCTACGCATTTCACAAGCTTAAGGGCCAAGGCGGCCCTCGCCAGCCATTGTCACAGGCAGGCCCGGCTTCCATTGGCACAGGCAGGCCTGGCTTCCCTATCTCTTCTAGCACCAGCTAGGCCGAATGTGCGCCAGCCCTTCCCCAGTCCCCGGGAATCAGAGCACATCCCCGACGCCAGCCCCAAAAGGGGTAACTCACCCCGCTACCGCCCTCTCTCACCAGCTGGTATACGCTGTTGTTATCACCCTCCGCCATCTTGCGCCGCCCTCACACCGCCACCTCCGACCGCGCCCACCCCGCCACCTCCGACCGCGCCCTCCCGCACCGTACCGCGCCGCCGCCTTTTATAGCCTCCGCAGCCCTTCTCGACACTGACTGGCCTTCTGGAAACTCAGAGATGGCCAATCCCAGAGCTCTTGCCGCGCTCCATCGACAGCCGGTTGGCTGGTGGGATTTGAACGGCAACAGCCACCCAATCAGCGTGGGGCCTTCGCCCACCCCCCTCC